ATGACTATATTAATTCATTTGTTTCTAGCATCTGTGCTAAAAGTACTCTATTCTCCCAAGTTCTCAAGGTGGGTTTCCATCTTTATTTATATTTTGGTTTAAATGTCTGGACAGCTTAAGGGTTACAATCCTTACCTTCACCTAAAAAACCTGTGTTGCTGTGCACAAAATCCTATACATGCACAGAGCTTAATAAACCAAATCCTTTCATTTACTTCAGTCTCAGACAAGGCTCAAACTACCTTGTAATGTAGACCTAGTGGACATTACTATTATATACATTTTATATGAGGAAAACTAAAATTTGCCTCAAGTAACACAATCAGTACATGGCAAACCTCATCCCCACTCCTGGTCCAGCACTCCTTCTACCACATGATATTTCCCAATTCTCAGGGCATCCCATCTTTGCTGTATTCTGGATCTATATGTGAATTTCTTATAAATCTAAAGATAGGAACATGTCTATCTGAAAGAGATAGGTTTCAAGCTACCACCAGACTTCCACTACAACTACCTGGGCCACACTAAGAAGTCTCCCGCCTCACTCCTGAAGCTATAAACACTATATACAAGGTTAATATTTAGACTCAAATTTTAAAATATTTGAATAACTCTTAAATCTGTAGAAGATGAACAGTCATGATGATTAGGCTATCCATTTCAAAAGAAAGGCTAAAATCATTGTCACTTGTTTTTCCACAACAGCCATTATTTATGGAGGGTTTGCTGGGTACCTGAGACTCCCTTGAATTGCTAACATAAATTTTAGAAGCTGTTTTGTTTACATAATAAACAAATGGTCCAAGGTCTTTCCTCAAAAATGGTCTAGAATTGGATCTGTCCACGTTGTTCACTGACCTTACAGTTAGGTGTGTAACCCTTGTATCATGGACGCAGCATGTCCCTTTCCCTAATTTCTGGGCAATAACCAAGCTCATCAAAGCAGACAAGACTTAAAGTTCCAGACCTTATAAGTGGTTGAAATAAGGACATGCTTTTTATTTTAGTTCAATCATGGTTAATCTCCATATCCAATCTAACTCTGGAGATAAAGAGGGGGATGCACTTATTTTGGGACTTGCCCCAAAGAGCATCAGCATTTGCAACATTCAGTTTAAGCAGGAAAGCTCTTTCTTTGTCCAATGGCCTTGATCTCTCCTGATCATTATGGTCTGGATTCCTGCTAATCACTAATGATCCTATGGCCTCTATATAATACTAAAGGTATTAGACCTGAACTCTCAGAAAATTCCTGCTCAGCTAATTACATGTTTTCTCCTTTTCTCCATAAAGCCTCAGCTGAAGTTGAATTATTTCCTCAAATTTTAAATTGTTTGCTGGTGGTTTTTGGAAAGCATTTGTGAATCCTTCTTCAAATGAATTCAACTAATTATAATTCTGAGCCCCATGACCTATCTTTCTCCCTCTCCCTCTTTCTTCAGTGTCTTTCTACCTCCCTTTCCCATATTCTGGTCTTGAATATCATAATAAGAGTTGAATTCACTGGGTTAGGAGTTTAATGATTCTGTACGTTGTACAATAGGTAGCATATTATTAATTTATAACAGGACACAGTGGTTCTACTACAGTATATATACACTGTATATATTATATATAATACTGTATTATAGTATATACATATCATACTGTATATATTATATAGATGGTATATATTATTAATATATTATATAACAATACATATTATATATACTGCATTATAGTATATATATTATATTGTATAAATATTATATATATAATATATATATTTGGGGATCTATATTCATAATCAATTAGTAAAAATGACAAGTGTTTTAGCTCACAGGTTAGACCTCACCTATAGTCTAAGGATGACTAAGGTTTTTAGGATATTTAAATGTCTTTCTCACTCACTAGAATACAGGTTAAATTTAATTTCTTAACTGAGTATGATTCTTTTATATTTCAAGGAATGTGGAGCACCAATTTTGTGAGACTATATAGGACAATCCCCATTTTAGTCATGACATCTTAAGCTTTTCCCACCTAATTCTGTATTCTAGAAATTAACTGCTTTTAAAGTCATACCAGAATTGTGAACTCTCATAAAATCCAGAATCAACCAACCAAATTCTTGACAATATAACTTTCTGAAGTAATACGAGTATGTCCGTACAGTGCCTACCGATGTACTATGCGTGTGTATGACTGTTATAATAATTCACTCACAAAGAGAATGTATTATTCCTAACAAACACTTTTCCTAAAGCTGTCCTTTGGCAACTACTCTTATTCCAATGGTGCTGCCATTGCTCAAAATATGTTAGTACAATGACTTTAGAACCAGTTTAAAAGCCACTCAAGAAAGACATCTCATGGTCTTTTAGCTTGTTTTGACCCCAAATTATATTACCTGACTTGATCACCCACCTTATTCTTCAGGGCACTGAAGGACTTTAAAGGAACATGATTTTTCACCTCCAAGGCTTTGCTGTGGGTTCTGAAAACAGTGTCCAATAACAGCTTCAAAAGAGGTTTGAGCAATGTCAGCAGTGGAAGCATCATTGCAATAGTGACAGCTTCCAAGATGACTAGTTGGATGAGGACACTAAAATATTAAGTGTAAGTTTTGGTATAGTTGTTAAAACACAGATATTATTTTACTGTCACATCTTGGTTATATTGTTTCACCCATACAGCATAATATTAGGGTTAGGGATAAAATTATTCCTGACATAATATTTCACTAATTTTGTACTTCACAAAATTTTACATCCTGTAGGTGCATCTTGCAGATTTAACACAAAATGTTTTGATATTCAAGGATCTAGGCATTGTTTTGAATGATTTCAAGCATTACCCAAGAAAAATTAAAATTATAAATAATTGAGATTAACATTTTGGGTATGTTTTTCTATTTTTATTAAACCAAGTAATTTTAACCAGATATACCCATGGCTTCTTGGGATGTATTTTGTTTGCTTGACTTAACTGCAGGCAATTCTTACTTCACGTTGGGGGGAAAAAGTACGTGGTTTTGATTTTAACTGAAAATATAGTGCTTTCACTTGCACAAAACTAGCCAGTCCAGCATATTGTATAAGAAGCAAGACTTTTGTAGGAAAACTTTGCATACTAATATAACTAAAAGAATACATAAGCTCCTTCAATCATGTAGGTCCTTTCAACTTTGTTTATATACAAAGTTTTAAGGAGAAAACAAAAAAACATGGCACTGTAAATAGGGCACGAACTGAAAGAAACTTCGTAATTCCTAATTTATTTTCTCTCCTTGACTTACTGCTTGAAAGTAGTCAACACAATTTTTCGCTTGTATAAATGAAAGGAGTTTGTAACTCTTTCAAAATAATATTCTTTGAGTTTCTTGGAGCCAAGAGAAAATATACATATTTTATAGTATGTTTCAATAATGATTTATTAAATGTCCATAAGGATCTTGTTCAATGGCAAAGTGAGGTGGAGAACATATAATGGATAACAAGTAAATACTTATTAAATGGATGGATGGAAGAAAAGAAAACCATACCTTGGGCCAACACATATGGAGTTCACTGTAAAACTAACTCCCACAGTTTAGCCTCCTACAGGGTTTGGTCCATGTAAGTACAGCTTCAGGTTATTATACAACGTCAAGCCTAAACTATTTGCTTAGATTCGGATTTGATTTTTCCAATTATTCCAGTTTTTAAAAATGCATGGTCTCATAAATAGACGTCTCTCACCGATTTACTATAAGTTATTTGGTAGATTACATAACATTTTTGTTCCCGAGTTTATATGATAGGATAGGAATAAGACAAAACCCTCCTCCTTCCTATGGGGACTTTGGTGGGTACATCGATAAATACCTATGAAATGATAAATACTACTACCTCTTTCAGCATTTTGAAAGATGTCAACCAAACAAAATATTTTTAGCGTGCGAGTTAAAATGCCTCTTACTGATGGCCTCAGATGTTTCCTTGTAAGATACCACGTCAAGAACTGGTTTATATATTAACCGTCCTTCCAGAACGCACTGACATCACACTTCATAATAGCTTGGTATGATGATTGCTGTCAAAACCGCGGGCGTGGAGACATACCTGCCCCAGATTGACATGATGTATTAACGTGACAAAGACTAAGAAACTAAGAAAGACCAAGGCCGGCTTTGAGCATAGGGGATGGAGGGGTACGATGCGCGTGAGCTCAAGGGCCTCAATCCTGCTTGTGCTTTAACTTAGGAAGAGAATGAAAGTTGCCTGGACGTCTCGTGGGCGGGGCTGGGGGCGGCCAGAAGACAAGGACCCGCGACAGGAGCAGGAAAATCTATTTTCAAATTCGAATCCCATCCAGGATCCAGGGCTAGGCCTTTGGGTCTCCTTCTCCGTGACCACCACACAACGGCACACACTTTTGCTGGGAATTGAAATCGAGGCGAGGGGTCGGAGGGCGCGACCGTCTCTGAGGTGGGCTGGGGTCCACACGCGGCTGAGGGGTGGGACAGGGTCCAGACACCTCGGCTCGGCCCTGACCAAGCGCTCCCGACTCAAGGGCCGTCGCTCTCGCCGCGTTTCACAGCGCCTGACCCGCTGCCCTCGCGCCCCCGAGCCCGGGCGACCCGAGCATCGCCTTGCCGGGCCCTCCCTCTCCTGGGGTAGACGGTGGGCACGGCTCCCTCCGCGGCTGGGTCTCTCCACGAGCCCCTTCCCCGACTGCAGTGTGAGAACCAGAGCCACCAGGGCCGCGGGCCCCAACTGCACACAAAGCCCCCACGGGGCCAGGCACCTCCACGCCTCGCTACCCCGAGCTCCCGGAGCGCAGAGAGCGGCGCCCTGGGTCACCGTGTCTACCCCGCGGGGACGCTCGGCAGAAGGGAAGCCTCGAGCAGGAGGTGAGATTCGGCGCGCACGCGAGCTCCCCGCCCCCAAGCAGAGCCCTCTGCCCGAGGGAGCCTCCCACCGGATATAAACGGGCGCTGCGGCCTGCGGGGGACACCGCGGGTGGAGAATACTCACGCTAGGCCCGGCCGTGCGGGAACCTCGCCCGGAAGAACGCGCGGGCTCGCTCCAGGGAGCGGAGCCCCAGCCCGCAGC